TGTGGACTACATCATGACCGCCAAGCAGTACCTCCAGGGCACAAACGAAGTTACAGTACTCACGGACTTCGACACTGGAGTTGAATCCGCAGACCATCTACCCGTCGTGGTGAGGACTGCGCTGCTGGTGGAACCCTCAGGCAGAAAGACGGGTTTTGCACCGATCGACAAGCGAAAGACCCATAATGTGGAACTCAGGCAAATGTTCCAGCAACAACTTGGATCTCTCCCGCTGCACGACTGGACAGTGGAGGCTAACCTGCAGCTAGAGCAGACGAACGAAGTGGTCAACAAAATGGCGAGCATTTTCTTTAAAGCCGACGACAGTATACCCCGCCAGCCATACATCACCCAGGACACCCTGCGCCTGATCAGGATGCGGCGATACATCATCCAGGCTATGCGTTCAAAGGACGTGGACAGCAAGGAATGGATCAATCTCATCTCCCACACCGAGAGGTACGTGATTGCCAATGTAAAGGACTCAGACAATTGGGCAGAAGATGCTCACCGTTTTGCTCTGGTTGTCGAAGCACATCGCGCGTTTGGAAAAGCCGTGGACATCGTGCAGGCGGGGAGGACGTTCTTAACAGCTACCAAGCCAAAGCTCACGTACAACTTAAGAAAAGACCGAGCAAATCACCTCACGCGAATAGCCGAAGAAGCGCAAGGATTCATAACGGACCATCGGTCAGGGCAGGCATGGTCGTGCACTAGATCCCTCCTACAATATGGCGGACGTGTACCGAGCAAACAGAGCCGCAGACACCCTGCAGCGGGCCCTGCCCCCTACCACGAGGAGGACGACGGCACCACCATCGACGACGACCGAAAGCTTGCAGCCAAAAGGCTGCGACACTTCGCGGCGCAGGAAGATGCGGACATATCGACTACCAACGAGGTACGGGTTCGCTACAACGAGGACGTCGCGACTGCTGTACTACATACCCGTCTTAATCTTGATAATGTACCTTCTTTACCATGGCTAGGCCACAGCCTCTCCAAAGTGAAGGAAGGCAAAGCAGCAGGTGCAGACGGGGTCAGCACCACGATCCTCAAGACGGCCCCCCGCGAGCTTGCCAGGCTATACAACCCGACCTTGTGCAAGGCAGCGTTGCTGATTCAAGAGCCGCTCTCCTTCAAGCACGGGATCGGGATCGCGCTTCACAAGAATATCGACAAGGCAGCTTGGAATGAATATTATCGGCTCATCCTCCTCAACAGTGAAGTTTCCAAGCATTATCACAAGTACCTCAAGACATGCCTTACCAAGCTCATTGGGGTAATGCTTCGAGACACGCAGACGGGTGGACGACCAGGACGATCTACAGCTATGGCAGGCCATATTGTCAATACTTTCCTGTGCACCATGCGCGAAAACAAGGAATGTGGATTTATCCTGTTCATCGACCTACGCGCTGCATTCCACCGAGTTATTCGGCAAATGGCGCTGGACACGAGCGGGTATGACCCACATCGTTTGGACATCGAGTACATCATGGAACACAGCGCAATGCCAGACGCTCTGAGACCATTGGCGCAGTTGGCCCTATCAACACCTATACTAATGCAGCACTTGGATAAGGAGCCTCACCTCGCCCAGCAACTGATTGAGTCCAACAGGCTGACCCACTTCGGCATGCCGCACACGGACCAGGTTGCAATATCCAGACGCAGCTCCAGACCTGGCAATGGCTTAGCGGACTCGCTCTTCAATGTTACATTTACGCGGCCACTATCATTAGCCGAAAGTACGCTAATACAAGCAGATCTGTGCTATCGAGTTCCACCAGCACCTGAAGGAGCTCCTAGGTTCACGAAAGGCCGCGACGTGAAGTCCGTGCTGTCGGATGTGTCCTTTGTTGATGACGCGCTGTTCGCAGTCCAAGCCAGAGCAGACGAAATGAAAAGAAAGATGTGTCGGACCGTGGACATTGTGCACGGCGCGATGGCCGTGTACGGTTTCGAGATCAACTACAGGCGTACTAAGACGGCTTTACTTCCCACCCTACATGGAGCTGGAGCGAACTTGGTCAAGCAGCAGCTGTTCTCCATGCCTGAACCCCACATCATCACGAAGAAGTACAACCTCAAAGTCTTTATTGAGACCAAGTACAAGCACCTGGGCACGCAGATCGACAAGGACGGGTGCATTGGTACCCAGATTGCTCGGAACCTGCAAAAGCAAAAGCAAGCGCTGGGCCCTGTCCGCAAGAGTGTCAACAAGTTGAATACGATGAAGTGCGAGCCCAAATTGCGGCTAGCGGACGCGTACGCAAATGTGCACTTGGGTTACCACAGCGAGACTTGGCCGGCGCCAAGCAACAAGCAGATCGACACCCTTGAAGCAGCCCAAGTTTATTCGTACAGGTCGGCCCTCAAGCTCCACATGCCGCAGGATGATGGACACCGCCGTACGAACGAGTATGTGCTATACCAAGCTCATCGCCCTCCCATCATGGCATGTTTGAGGTTACGCCGACTACGGTACCTGACGGCCTTGTTGGAAGGAGGGCCAACGATTTTGCTGGCGATGTTGGAACACACGTGGGAGGTCACAAAAACGAAGAACGGATGGGCTGCCCAACTACCTGCGGATTTCCAATGGGTAGCTCGACATTTAGCCAAGGATGAAGAGGACGAGATCGCCCACCGCACCGTCCAGGATTGGATCGACCACATCCAGCACGAGCCGAAGCAGTTTCGCAAGACATTGAAGCTAGTATGGGATAAGTATCGTGCTCACCAACATGACCAGCACCATCACGAAGATTGGAATTACCGACTTGAACAGGTACTGCAAGCAGCCGAGGCAGCTGCAATACCACCTCCCCCGGAGCGACCACCAGTTGTATGTTATCATTGTGGCCGCACATATGAGAATGCTTCTGTTCTTATGGCACATATCAAACGTGATCACGATGGGATCGATGACGCACAAAGATATGCCGCTTCTACCTATTGTCAGGCTTGTCGTACGGAGTATCATACACGGCCTCGACTTATCACCCACCTTCGTTACCGCTCCGAGGCTTGTTTGGAGGCACTACGTCAGACGTGCCAAGCCTTGGAGGACGACGAAGTGCACAAGCTCATGGCCTTAGATCGCTCCCACATTGCCGAACTCAAGCGACAAGGCTACCATGCTACAAAAGCGTTAATTCCTGCAAGAAGGGATGGACGACGACGTCGCGCTAAGATGGCTAAACCAAAGTTTTTACCACCAAGTGTGCCCCCGGAGCTGCTCGACGGACCTTCTGACGGAGAAGAAGACGATGCAGCCCAGCATGAACACCGCCAACCAGATGATCAACAACGGCAGCCGACACCAGCGCCCGTGCATACTCCAACGGTGAAATATATTTTGCATTTATTTTCAGGGCGACGTCGACGAGGGGATTTACAACACTGGATCGAAGGTATGACAGATTTTCCGTGCGTTGTGTTATCAGTAGACGTTGTTAATTCCAATAGCCGTGCAGATTTAACACAGATGGATCAGATATTGGCATTTGCTACCATGATTCGAGAAGGATATATCCTCGGAGTAGTGGCTGCGCCGCCGTGTGAGACGTGGTCTGGCGCTCGACACGTCGCATTGAATGGCGATTACCAGGGGCCACCACCGCTCAGATCGGCCACCCACCCATGGGGCATGCCACACATCGACATGCGGTACCGTCAGCAAGTACAACTCGGCAACCTTCTGATGAGGGCTGCCCTGCTATTGGCCGCAGTCTGCATTGTGACCGTCACCCCGATGCTGATGGAGCACCCAGCGCGCAATTGGCGCCCAGGTACAGCCTCATGCTGGGCACTGGCCCAGGTACGCAGAATGCTGGCCTTTCAAGACGTGGAGCTTATCACTTTTGACCAGTGCTGCTTTGGAGCTGCGTCAAAAAAGCCGACGACGGTGCTCAGCATCGCATGCCCAAGTTTTGGCAGAGTTATGAGAGCTCGGGAAGACAGAGGACGTTGCCCACATATGAATGGACACCTGGCTTCTATTGGAAGAGATATACAGGGCAAGTACCTCACAGCCAAGTTGAAGGAATATCCAGAACAATTATCACTTTACATGGCGCTGAGCGTCCAAGCTGCTTGGAATGATCGCACATACTATGCTGGCGCAGACTGGGACGACATAAGCCCGGACCTCGTGCAGCTATACGTCCCCCTGGACGAGTACGGCGCTGCAGTGGAGGACTTCAATCACGATTGCTGGCGAGGGCACCGTGCGTGACTTGCCCGGTGAGTGGTTGTTTTTCTTTGCTGATAGTAGCAAAGTGATGCAGTATGTGAAGCTGCGGGTCCAGCAGCACAACCTGGACTACAAGGCGGTCGCCAACACCTGCGACCACCAGCACCTCGACTGGAGGGCCGCGTAGGACCGCTACTTCTGGGTCGTGAAGGCCCCCCCGACAGGGTGAGCGTGCCGCCCGCCGTAGAAGGCGGAGGCTGGCGGCCCTGAGGGGGGGATGAGCTGGGCCCGAGGGCCCTCCCCCCACTCCTTTCTTTGAGCATGAGAGGAGCCAGGTTGGTGGTGGGGGTGGGTCTCCCTCCCTCCTCTCGCGCGGCGGCCGCGGCCGCGGGCGCGCGAGCGCGGTGGAGGGCTGTGACCCGACGCGCGTCGCGCAGCGGTTGCGGCAGGAAGGAGGAGGAGTGGGAGGAGGAGGAGGAGGAGGAGGAGGAGGGAGAGGGAGGAGGAGGAGAAGGAGGAGGAAGGAGGAGGAGGAGGACGGAGGAGGGAGCAGGAGGAGGAGGAGGAGGAGGAGGAGGAGGGAGGAGGAGGAGGAGTGAGGAGGAGGAGGAGGAGGAGGAGGAGAAGGAGGAGGAGGAGAGGAGGAGGAGGGGGAGGAGGAGGAGAGGAGGAGGAGGGGAGGAGGAGGAGGGAGGAGGGGAGGAGGAGGGAGGAGGAGGAGGAGGAGGAGGAGGAGGAGGAGGAGGAGAAGGAGTGGGAAGAGGGACGCGGGGAGAGCAGGGCGAAGCGGCCGAGGCGCCTCCGCCTCCTTGGCGGCGGGCCGCCCCAGCCGCGCCCGCGCCGGCCGCCTCCTGGCGCCGCCGGCGTGTGCTCCGGCTCCGGCGGCCGCGGCCAGGGCTGCGCCTGCTCGGCGGGCGACGGCGGCGGGGGCGGCGATGATGGTCCTGTTTTCCACCACCACCACCAGTTGGAGGATGAGGATGAGGATGAGGATGATGAGAATGATGAGGATGAAGATGATGCTGATGATGCTGATGAGGATGATGAGAATGATGAGGATGAAGAGGATGAAGATAATGCTGATGATGCTGATGCTGATGCTGATGCTGATGATGATGATGATGATGATGATGATGATGATCATGATGATGATGATGATGATGATGATGATGATGATGATGCTGATGATGATGCTGATGCTGATGATGCTGATGCTGATGCTGATGCTGATGCTGATGCTGATGATGATGATGATGATGTGATGATGATGCTGATGCTGATGCTGATGCTGATGCTGATGATGATGATGATGATGATGATGATGATGATGATGATGATGACGAGGAGGAGGAGGAGGAGGAGGAGGAGGAGGAGGAGGAAGAGGAGGAGGGGGAGGGGGAGGAGGAGGAGGACCCCCTCCCCCTCCTACTCATAGTGGTGGCGGAGCCCGCGGGCCTTCTGAGAACAGACTGGCTCCGGAATCAGGACGAGTCTTCCAGGATCCTGGGGTTCCCATGGCTTCCTGGGGCCCTGAGGATTCTTGGGAGGTCCTGTGGATTCCTCGGGACGGATCCCTTGCGATTCTGAGGGGTTTCTGAGGAGCCCTGTGGATTCCTGTGGGTTCCCACGGGCCCTGAACCCAAAAACGGTTCCGTCTCTTGGGAACGCATCGCATCTTTTACTTCCGTCGCTTTCCGCCAACCTTCCGCCGGCTTCCGCCAGCGGAGGCGGCCACGTTGTAGTTCCGCTGGCCTCCGCCGCCTTCCGGAAGAGATGGCAACTCCTTCGATCCTCAAAGGCAGGGCCCTTTCTGGAACGTTCCGAGTGTTCTGAGCCCTCCCCGAAGGCACAGAAAAGACTTCTCAGAAGTGCAGGAGGGCATCTGAGAAGCCCCGCCGCCTTCCCTAAGTTGGAGGGGGGAAGGAGGGGAGGATGAGGATGAGGATGAGGAGGAGAAGGAGGAGGATGAGGACCCCCTCCCCCTCCTACTCATAGTGGTGGCGGTGGAAAACAAGCCCACCAAGCGACACTTCTCACAAGTGCAGGAGGGCTTCCGAGAAGCCCGGGCGCCTTCTGAGGAGGCCTTCTCCCTCTCGCTTCACCCCTCGGCGCGCCGCCGAGACGAGCGGAAAACCTGCAGAGCCAACCCTGCTCCCTTGAAGTGGGCGCCCCAAAGCGAGCGTAAGTATCTAAGCCAACCCCATTGGAATAATACGGTCGGACCTAGGACAGACGACCCCGATATACCCCGAGCCATAGGATCACTCGATGGCACCCTTCCCCAGGATGCATGAGAAAACATCCACTAAACACGAAAAAACGGTGGGGTGCCCTGCCCGAACCGACCTCGACCTCACACCTCGGCCCCACCGCACAAGATGAGACCCTTCCCCAGGGCAGTTGGTCAACAGGGGCGCCTTCGTACAGTAGGAGCCCGACCACAAGAAACCTTCCACCTCCACAAGGAATCCAACCTCGAGACCCCAGGACAGGACGTCCCTGGATGTTAGGCTGGGACCGTCACTCTTTCCATGGCAAAAGCATCAGCACCCAAGAAACCTAGGGCACCCTGGAGGCAAGCAGGATGCTTCTTGGCATGGGCCTCCACTGCAATTTGCCCGGACCGACCCTTCCCGAACCCCTCTGGCTTATGTTGCATCCTCGGGGGACCTTGTCTGTCCCGTCGCGGCCCTGTCCGTGTCGAATGCGTGTCGAATCCATGTCGGACGCGTCGGATCCGTGTCGAATCCGTGTCGAATCCGCGTCGAATCCATGCCAAATCCGCGTCGAGTCCGCATCGAGCCCGCGTCGGGCCCCCCAAAAGACACCAATTTTAGGGACAGGCGAGGTCCCCCGAAGATGCAACAGAATCTGGCCTGGGATGGCGGCGGCGTGGGCGGCGGCGCGGTGGGCACGGCGGCGTGGGCGGTGGGGGCGGGAACGACGGCGGGGGCGAGGAGCGCGCAGACGACGGGGGCGAGGACGGCCGCGGGCGGCTGCGATAACGGCGTAGCGCGCTGGCGAGGACGATGACGGGGGCGAGGACGGCGGCGACGGCGAGCTCGACGAGAAGGCCGTCGTGGACGTCGGCGAGGACGAGGAGGGCGGAGCGGGGCGGAGGGGCCACGCTTCCCGCACCACGGCGCGAACACCACGTCTCCGGGCTCCTCTTCTCGGCCAGCGCGTGCGCGCGGGAGCGGAAGAGGAGCGTGCAGGCGGAAAGATTGCACAGAAGCCACGGCGGCGTGCTGAGGGGCAAGCTGCCGGGCATGCCACCCAAACAGGAGCGACCGCTTGTAGGCGCTCCTGCTTGCGGATCTGAAGACTGCAACGGCCGCCCTGCAGCACGGCAATCCCAAAGACCACGGACGAAAAGAAGCACCAACATGCAACCAGCACAGTGGATGCCATTGTTCGTTCTCCACCCCCTCGTCCTCCTCCTCCTCCTCCTCCTGCCACACTTCTCTCTCTCTCTCTCACTTCTTCCACCTATCGCGTATTCCTCCTCCTCTTACTCTCGTCCTCCTCCTCCTCCTTCTTCCCCCTTTCCTTCTCAACACATTCGTCCTCGTGTTTCGAACCCCCCTCCTCAGCCTTCTCCTCCTCCTCCTCCTCCTCCTCCTCCTCCTCCTGCTTCTCCTCCCCGAAACGGTCCAAACCTAACCTCATACGTAAATTATGAGAAGCATATGCTGTCACGCCGCAAACAATGAGAGGCTCGAGGAACCAACATAAACAAATCTGCGCAAACACGTAGCAGAGCCGTGACAAGCCAAGCGGCAACCGAGAAATAAAGATACCATAGTAATCCAGAGTCTGATGTGCGTTACTGTACCCGGGCCATTAAACAAACATTGCAAGAATTTCGACGCGAATCAAGCCGCATTGACGTCCTGGGGCCTTACAAGAATGATCCCACGACGATGTTGAGAATCTCTATTTGCTTGGAGGATGTCCCTAGCGAGTCCACCATTTGGGGCCCCAGAGAAGGAGTATTCTTGAGACCCCAGGGGCCTCTTGGGAGCAATGTTGGACGCTCCCTTGGAAATCAAGACGTGTTAGATTAACGAGGAGCCTACGCGGAGCTTACACAGGCTTACGCAGAGCTTACGCGGTGTCTGCGCAGGGCGTGCGAAGTACCTCCACCTGCTCGTGAGACGCGTCTTACATGCAGATTCCATGTGCATGAAGCCTTGCGTCTGCTCAAACACCCTTTTACATGGAAATCGCATGTGCATTGGGCCCTTCGCCCGCTCAAACACCCGACTTCCCATGCAACCCATGTAATGTGCCGCGAGCTTACGCTGAGCTGACGCGGAGCTTACGCAAGGACATGTTGAACCTCTCGGCCGCCTCATGCGGGCCTCTTAGATGCCTTGATCGAATCGATCTATACACATATGGCGGTGTCCCGTTTGTTCTGTCACAAGCCTCTTAATCCCCAGTGTCCCCCGGTGCCGGGGGCGACCCCGACAAGACTTTCAAACGAGAAGCCCTTGCAGTGAGTTCATGTCATCAGCTCCTCTTTTTTTCTCCAAAGAAGCTTGCCCTATAGGAGTTCTAACTCGTTCTCTACTGATTGGTTCGTTGCCCCCACCCCCCTCATTCCTATGCCCCCCCCTGATTCCTATGGCTATGCCTATGCCTACACCTATGCCTCCCCCCTAACTCCTATGCCTACGCCGATGCCTATGCACCACCTCTGAGGGCTCCTATGCCTATTCCTATGCCCTGCTTGCCCTCGCTTGCTTGCCCTTGCTTGCTCTTGCGTGCTCTTGCCTGCTTGCTCTTGCGTGCTTGCTATCGCCTGCTTGCTCTTGCTTGCCCTTGCTTGCTTGCACTTGATCGCTGGCTCTTGCTTGCTTGCTTGCTTTTGCTCCCTTGCGCTTGCTTGCTTCCGCTTGCTTGCTTGTGCTTGCTTGATTTGGATCCTCCCGTCCTGCTCCCGTCCTCCTTTCGTCCTCCGCCTGTCCTCCTATCTATTTGGAGTTAACGCTGGCTGATACTTAATGCTCATTTGAAAATTGTCATGGTAAGCGCTCAGGCCCAAGCTTCTCTTTGCGTTGTCGGACTGTTGGCCATAGACTAGAGGGATGGCGAGGAAAAGGAGGATGAGGAGGGGGATGAGGAGCGTTTCGCTAGAGACATCCTCATAAACTGGGGATGTTGCATACGACGTCGGTTCTCAAAATTGAAGCTTTCGCACGAGATCTCCCCAGACAAACGAAATACTTGGAGATCGGACGTCGGATATCCAGCATGCTGCGGGGGGGAGGGGCGTTTCGCCTGAGGCACCCTCGCAACATGGGGATGTTGGAGGAGTTGCGGTTCGACGCTGATTCGCTGGTTCTCAAACATGCTGTCTCCCGAGGCGTCATCGGAAAAATGAGGTGCTGGAGATCGGGCCTCGGATATCCAACACGTTGTGGAGGAGCGTTTCGCCTGAGACAGCCTCGCAGCATGGGGATCTTGGAGGAGCTTGACTTACGACGTTGGTTCTCCTCAGTGACACTTTCGATAGGGACATCCTGAAACGACTGAAATGCTGGAGATCGGACGTCGGCTATCCAAACTGGTGTGTGTGGGATGAGGCGTTTCGCCTGGGACATCCTCACAACATTGGAATGTTGGAGGAATTGTTGTTCGGCGTTGGTTATGTTCACAAACCGTTTTCGCCTGAGACATCCTCAAAACTGGAATGTCGGAGATCTGGCGTCGGATATCTAAAATGGTGTGGGGAGGGGGGGGGGGCGTGTCGCCTCAGACATCCTCTCAAAATGCGGATGTTGGAGGAGATGTTTTGTCGACGCTGGTTCTCAAAACTGAAATTTTCGACGGGGATATCATCAGGAAGTTGGACTGTTGAAGATCGGGCGTCGGATATCCAACATGGTGTGGGGGGGGCGTTTCGAGTCAAATATCCACACAAAATGGACATGTTGAAGGAGTGCTTTACGAGGCTGGTTCTCAGAAATTAAGCTTTCGCCTGAGACATCCTCAGGATAATAATATGTTGAAGATCGGGAATCGGATATCTGACATGGTGTGGTGGGGGCCTTTCACCTGAGACATCCTCGCGTCATGGGAATGTTGGAGGCGTTGCGTTGTTACGCTGGCTGTCAAAAACGAAGCTTTTGCATGCGACACCCCCAAACAATGAAATGGTGAGCTCGGCCGTTGGATGTCGAACTCGGTGTGGCGAAGCGTTTCGCTGCAGACATCCTCATTTGAGATGATCTGTTCAGCAAGTTCCCGATCTGTTCAGCGAGACTGCGACGTACCTTCAAGAGCTTTATTCTCGTCTGAGATACCCTCACAAATTGAGGCGCCGCCAGAGAAGTCTGACAACATGTGATGTTTACGTACGTTGAGTACAGAACTCGTGGGCCCCTTAGATGTTCGACAACATTTTGACGCACATGCTTCGCGATGCGGCCCCGACCTCTCCGACGCCGTCTTGGAGGTAGCTTGGGCACTCTTGGGGCTGACTTGGGCCGTCTGGGGTCGAAAATGGCAAACATTTGGGTCATTAGGTCCGCGCCAAATTTTGTCTACCCCCCCCCACCTCGGGGATCTTCTGACCCGGGTCAATCCAGACCCGGGTCAGCAAGAAACCAAAAACTGCAATGCAAGATAAACAAACTGCAACGCAGGTCTTCGAAAACCCGGGTCAGCCAATATGCGCGGCCGCTTCGCGGCCACGAGCGGCTCGCTAACCCGGGTCAGCCAAAAAGGGTCGTCGCAAGATCCTGCAGGATCCGGTGCCCTGGCTGACCCCCGTTTGCATCGACCCCCGTCTCGAGGCTCCCGACCACCCCCCTTGTTATTTCTCCCCGCTCACGGATCGCGACGCTGCGCGCTCCTTCCGCCGTCTGGGGGTGCTGCTGCCTACCCCCCACCCCCCCCTGTTATGCCCCCCGACCGACGGATCGCGACGCCGCGCGCGCTTTCCGTCATCCGCCGCCCCCTGTGGTCTTGCCACAGGGGTGCCCGGCGTGCTGTATCCTAGCGGTTTGGTTTTGCTTCTCTCTCCGAAAGGACTCCCCTAAGGCTTCGGCCCGTCCCGCCGGCCACCCGAATACGCTGTTGCCAGAATGTTCCTGGTCCGGATGGCTCCAAGATGGCCCAAGATAGCCTCCAAGACGGCCAAGATGGCCTCCAAGTGAGCCCAAGATGGTCCAAGATGGCCTCGAAGACGGCCCAAGAGAGTCCAAGATGCCCCCTCCTCCGAGCTTTCCACGTTTCTAACGCATCCACCGTTTCTACCGCAGGATGTAGGAAGAGGAAAGAGAGCAGGACCAGCAGAAGCAAGAGCAGAGCGAGGTGTATGGGGAGCACGCCGCGGCGTTTCGCTTCCCACGCCGCGTCGGTAGGCGTATGTACACAAGGATGCCCGGGACACAAATTCACTCGGACATCTGTGTCAATCGAAAGCCGATCCAACAAGCGGGAAGCGACCGTCCGCCTCTGGAAAATGAGGGGCCCTACACATATGCGAGCGCGCTCGGAAGAGCGCGTCTTCGGCGTGCCGTCAGAGCCCGTGCATACGCGAACACATACGAAACAACATGTCATCGCCGCGGGACTGGTCGGATAAAGCGTAGCGATGAGAAGGCAAAACAAGGAACCCGATGTCGAAACATGCATCTGGGGAACATGCCCTTGGCTCTTTTTGGCTGGACGCTGGCTGGGAGCGCAGAGGCTATGACGACGGTCGCCTGCCACCACTCCTCTAGACCTGTGATGGAACATCTCCCAAGGTCTTGCGGCAACCTTAGATCCAGCATGGATTTTCTCACAAAGACAATGGGTGCTGGCAGCGAGCTGCTCCATCGCAGAGCAAACATACACTACATAAAATTTGGCGCGGGTGGCAGCAGCCCACAGGAAGAGCCTGATTCAGGCCGGCAAACATGTGAAGGAGCGTTGACAAACCATAGGAACATATTGTCTGTAAGGCATGCAGGAGACCCTTCAGGGGGCGCCCCGGAATGCATGGTGGAATGCGAGCTGCTAACTGATCCTCCTCACGCTCCCCTTCCTTCCTGCACTGACCTCCGCTTTGTTCTCTCTCTCTCTCTCCCTTCTCCTCCTCTCCTCCTCCTCCTCCTCCTCCTCCTCCTCCTCCTCCTCCTCCTCCTCCTCCTCCTCTCCCTCGTGACCGAAGCCCTTGCGCCGCGGCCATGCGGATGTTGGGAAGCCTCCGCTGGCTGACTTCAAACAGAAACATGTTCCTCCTCCTCCTTCTCCTCCTCCTCCTCCGCCACCTCCTCTTCCTCCTCACCCTCGGCAGCGATATGAGGGGATAGACACAGGGGGGGGAAACATCAACCTGGAATCGGCAATACATCGCCGATTGGTCGGCGATAGGCCCCCGATAGAAAACCCACACGTTCCTGGGCGGGGGTGGGCTATCGATCCCCTCCCCTATGCCTATCCCTCCCGATCGTTGCCCATGACCCCCCTTACCCTTTCCCCTTCTTAAAAAGAGGCTGCTTCTTAGAAGGCGCCGGCCTGACCTAAGGAACGATAAATAAGGAACGAAACCCTTTTTTTCTCCAGGGAGTAACGCATAAGGAACGATAACTAATCAATAACGCATAGGGGACGATGAATAACGCATGCAAGCCTAAGGAACGACGGAGCCCCTTTTGAAAAGTAAGTGTTCCTTATTCAAGCCGCTCACTGTATCCTTGCCCCTTCTTAAAAAGAGGCTGCTTCTTACAAAGCGCCGGCCTTACCTATATACGCAAGCCTCCTTCTAAGAAGCCTGTCCCCCTCCCCCTACCCCCCTCTGATCGTTGCCCCTGACCCCCCTTATCCTTGCCCCTTCTTAAACAAAAGCTGCTTCTTAGAGGGCGCCGGCCTTACCTATACACGCAAGGCCAGCGCCTTCGAAGAACCAGCCTCCATCTAAGAAGCCTGCCCCCCTCCCCCCTTCCCCCCTCTGCGCGTGGCCGATCCCTCCACCCTCCCTCCCTCCGTCCTCCCTCCTCCGTCCTCCCCCCCTCCTCCTTTCTCCTTCTCCCTCCTCCCCTCCACCTCCTCCTCCTCCTCTCCCTCCCTCCCTCCTCCTCCTCCTCCTCTCCCTCCTCTCCTCTCCTCCTGCTCCTCCCCCTGTTCCTCCTCCCTTCGCTAGTTAAGCCAAACGTGCAGCTCCCTCCTCCTCCTCCTGCTCCTCCTCCTCCCTCCTCCTCCCTCATCATCATCATCACCATGCATCTGGCACCATGCATCATCATCGTGCCTCACCATGCATCACCATCGGGCAGCCCCAAGGGACCCCAAGACAACCCCACAGGAGGCCGAACCAACCCCGAGACGGTCTGAATGAACTGCATGGCAGCTCGTCAAGAATGAGGACGAAAGGCATTACATGTGACTGCATTATTATTCCTCCGCCTCCTCCTCCTCGTCCTCGTCTTCGTCATATCACCACCATTACAATCACCATCATCATCACCGTCACCATCGCCATCATCACCATCGCCATCACCAGCATCACCATCACCATCATCACCAGCACCAGCATCAGCATCACCATAACCATCAACATCATCATCTACATCAGCATCAGCAGCATCATCAGCATCATCAATATCATCAGCATCATCGTCAGCATCATCATCAGCAACATCAGCAACACCAGCATCATCGTAAGCATCAGCATCGTCATCATGATCATGATCATAAGCATGATCACCATCACCATCACCACAGTCACCACCACCACCCTCACCACCCTCACCACCACCACCACCGCCATCACCATCATAATCACCATCATTATCATCATAACCCCAAGCATCATTGCAATCACTTTCATCATCATCATCACCATCACCATCATCATCATCATCATCATCATCATCATCCTCATCCTCATCCTCATCATCATCATCAGTATCATCATCATGACCCCCATCCTCATCCTAATCCTCATCCCCATCATCAGCGTCATTATTAGCGTCATGCTCATATTCATGCATCCTCTCTATCACCATCAACATCACCACCAACACCATCACCATCATCCTCATCACCACCACCATCCTCATCTTCATCAACACGGCTCTCCCTTGGTTGGGAACATGAAGTGCCACACATGACGGCATCCCGTGCCATCCTCCTCATCCTCCTCCTGATCCTCCTCCTCATCATCTTCCCCCTCGTCCTCATGGAAGCGGCTGGCGAGTCTGTGCACACTCGCGCGTCGCCAAGCCTTGAGTTTCTGCGAGACCAGCAGGAAGGTGCAGGTCTCCTCCTCCTCCTCCTCCTCCTCCTCCTCCTCCTCCTCACCTTACTAATAGTATTGGTAGTAGTCTTCCTCTGCTTCCTCTTCTTCCTCCTCTTCCTCCTCTTCCTCTTCTTCCTCCTCCTCCTCCTCCTCCTCCTCCGCCTCCCCCTCCCCCTCCTCCTCCTCCCCCTGCTCCCCTTGCTCCTCCCCCACCTCCTCCTCACCTCCTCCTCCTCCCCGCCATCCGCCTCCCTCCAGCCTCTCTCCTCTCCTCCTCCTCCTCCTCCTCCCCCTCCCTCCCTCCACCTCCTTCTCCTACTCCCCTCCCACCCCCGTTTCCTCCTCCTCTTCCTCCTCTCCTCTCTCCTCCTCCACTCCTCCCACCTCCTCCACCTCCTCCACCTCTCCTCCTCATCCCTCCTTCTCCTCCTCCTCCTCCTCCTCCTTCTCCTCACTCTCCTCCTCCTCCTCCTCCTCCTCCTTCTCCTGCTCCCCTGCGCCCCCTGCTCCCCCTGCTCCCCCTGCTCCTGCTCTTGCTCCTGCTCCTCCTCCTCCTCCTCCTCCTCCTCCTCCTCCTCCTCTTCCTCCTCCGCTACCATCAGCTTGTGGTTCGAAACGATCGCCTCGTCAGAAGCTTTCAGGAAGAGAGCGGCCAGAGCTTGGCCGATCATTTTTGAAGAATTTGCTCGCCACCCCTCAGAACCGCCAATGGAGGAAGATTAACGGCATGATCTCGGGCACGATTTCGGCCTTGCTGTCCGCGGGTTGGGACCCCCAGGGACCGTGGAAGTGGACCCACCCCACAGTCGATAAGTATGAGGTGAGTGAGTGAAGATATGTTCGACTCGGACCCTGACTGGGAGCCCTTCTTGGAGGTCTTCAGAGACACCCTGAGGCTCCCCGTCTGGGCCCAGGCTGCAAAACATTATAATGGGGGGGGGCCTTGAGCAGGGCGCTGAAACCACGGATATTTTAAAAATGATGCGTGCGCTGGCCAAGAAGGGAGCCAACAAGTTTCGAGGTGCCCTCAGCACGGTCATGACGGCGGGTTTCTGGCCCAAAGCTCGGCTCTCCCAGGCGGGGGTGAAGGTCGACTCCATCTTGTGTCCCCGTTGTGAGGTTGAGCCCGAGACCGACCTTCACCGCTGCTGGACCGTATTGCCAATAATGATATCCCCCGCTGTGCCGACACACAGCATTTAAAAGACCAGGCAGTCCAAGGTGTTCAGTCGCATCCATGCTAGTGGCTCCGAAGCCTTATCCCTAGAGAGTGGACGGCCATCCCAGAGCCACCAGACGAATTGCAGGTTCATCTAGACCCGCGGGTCGACACGCCGAGCTTCCTTGTGGCAGGCGCGGCCCCGCACAACCTGCTAGGGGCCCTTCGGGAGGACGGGAGGGTTTGGCTGAGCGGGGATGCGTCGGGGGGAAAGCACTCTAGCCACTCCAAGCTGCGTCGTCTCACCTGGTCTGTTGTCGCTGTTGCTTGTGGGGCCGATCCCAGGGAGGCGCCTCTGCCTTTAAGTGTTGCTGGAGCTTTTGGTGGGGCCCTCCCTGGCCCCCGTCAGGGAATCAACAGAGGCGAGTTGTTTGCCCTCAAAGAGGCCCTTTTGGCCACCCCAGGCAGAGATTTGACACATGTCACCGACAACGCCTATGTCCAGCGAGGCGCTTTCCGTCTGTGCTCGAAGGCCCGATGGAGGCCGAAGACGAATCGGGACCTCTGGCACCTCGTCCGAGAGCTCTGGGTGTCCCGTGACGTCCTTATCGTGAAGGTCGCGAGCCACGCGACCAGGTCCGAGTCCGATCGAGCGTCAGGCGATTTAAAGGCTGTGTATCAATTCAATGAGCTGGCTGACGGGCTGGCCGATAGGTTCTCACCAGCCGCGCAGGTCCCGAGTGCGGCAACATATTCCCTCTTGGAGCTCGAGACGGAGGCCAAGGCCATCCGCGCCCGTTTGACAGCTATCGTGGCTACGATGCCGTCTTTTCGCCCAGAGGGAGAGTCATCCAGAGCTGCCGCCCAGGGACCGATCAGCAAGAAGTATGATTTGCCTGCGGAGTTATCCCGCACGGCCCACCTCTTGGAGAGCTCCAGGGTCAATGGTCGTCTGCGTCGGCAGTTGCGTTGTCGTAAATGTGCATCGGAGCCTCCATCTAGGGGTAAGGGTACTGTAAGTAAGTGGTTTCGTTCCCCTTGCAACCCCTCGCTCATTGTTGGCCCCGCATCGAGTGCCCCGCGGGAGGTGGGGCCTTGTAGGAGAGGCCTTTCTGTGCATCCCTCTCACACTATGCGGTGGTGGGAGGTTGGGGCGGGGACGTTGAAGGAACGGATTTTCGCTTGCTCGAGGTCCGGTGGGCTCGGAACCGACCACTATCGCGCCACAGGCAAGCTCATGTCTGAATGCCAGGCCCCACACGTACGGGCTCAGAATATCTCAGGGCGCTCGAGAAAGGTCGAGCTCCAGGCCACACTAAGTTGGCCAAGCAGATCAAAGTCCTGAGATAGAGTGGAGTGAGCGCGCAGCGCAGAGTCTAATCTAATCTAATCTCCTTTTCCTCCTCCTCCCCCTCCTCCTCCCGTCTCCTCCTCCTCCTCCTCCTCCTCCACCTCCTCCTCCTCCTCCTCCTCCCCCTGCTCCTCCTCTTGCTCCCCCTGCTCCCCCTGCTCCTCCTCCCCCTCCTTCCACCTCCTCCTCCTTCTCTCACCCCTCCATCCTCCTCCACCTCCTCCACACCTCCTCCACCTCCTCCTCCTCCTCCTACTTCCTCTTCCTCCTCCTCCCCCTGCTCCTCCTCCACCTCCTCCTCCTCCTCATCCTCCGCCTCCGCCTCCTCCTCTCCCTCTTTCTTCCTCCCCCCTTCTCTCCTCCTCCTCCCTCCTCCTCCTCCTCCTGCTCCCCCTGCTCCCCCTGCTGCTGCTCCTCCTCCTCCTCCTCCACCTCCTCCTCGTCCTCCTCCTCGTCCTCCTCCTCCTCTAAGTATTATGTGTATTCGTGATAGTATGTTTATTATTATTATTACTATTGTTTGTCGTAGTATTGTTACTATTATTATTATTATTAGTAGTATTATCATTATTATTATTATTATCATTCGTATTGTTATTATTATTATTAGTATTATTATTAGTATTAGCATTATGAATATTATTATTAGTATAATGGATATTATCAGCTTTAATAATCTTAGTATTATTATTAGTAGTAGTATTCGTGTCCTGCGTATGCCTATCGTTATTATTTTGATTGGTATTAAGATCCGCTGCCTTATCCGTATTCATATTATTCGTACTATTCGTGTTCGTAGTATTTTTCTTATTGTTATTATTGTCGTTAATATTCTGTCTGTCGTTATTCGTACTACTAATACTATGATTAGTAATAGTATTCATACTACTAATATTATTCTTATTTTCATTATTAGTACTAGTAGTGCTCCTATTAGAACAATAAGTAGTATTACTAGGGCTGCTACTACTATACTGATTAGTAACATTATTAGTCGTAGTAGTGTTGGTGTTGTTAGTATATGTGTTACTCTTATTGGTATTAGTATCACTAATATTAGTATTAGTAAACGTATTGTTGTTATTATTGTTATTGTTACTATTAGTATTACTAGTATGCGTCATATTACTAGTTTTACCTGTCTTACTATTAGTATTACGGTTATTAATATTAGTAGTAATAATACGAGTGCTATTATCATTCATAGTATCACTACTATTAGTAGTTTTCGTCCTCCTCCTCCTGCTCCTCCTCCTCCTCCTCCTCCTCCCCCTCCTCCTTCTCCCCCTCCTCCTTCTCCCCCTGCTCCTCCTCCCCCTGCTCCTCCTCCTCCTCCTCCTTCTCCTCCTCATTCTCTTCCTCCACCTCCTCCTCCTCCTCCCACCCCCTCCTCCTCCTCCTCCTCCTCCATCCTCCTCCTCATCCTCCTCCTCCTTCCTCCTCCACCTCCTCCTCCTCCTCCTCCTCCTCCTCCCCCTCCCCGTCCTCCTCTCCTCCTCCTCCTCCTCCTCCTCCTCCTCCTCCTCCGCCTCCTCCTCTCCTCCTCCCGCCTCACTCCTCCTCCTCTCCTCCTCCTCCCTCCTCCTCCTATCTCCTCCTCCTCCTCCTCCTCCTCATTATTGTTATAAGTTTTCTTCTTCTTATTCGTCATATTATTATGATTATTCTTATGCTTCTTCTTATTCTGCTTTTACTATTTCTATATCTTCTTATTCTTCTTATTCTCTTCTTCTTCTTCTTCCTTCTTCCTGCCTCCTCCTCCGCCTCCTGCTCCTCCTCCTCCTCCTCCTCCCCTCCTCGCCTCCTCTCCTCCTCTCCTCCTACTCATCCTCTCCTCTCTCCTCCTCTCCTCCTCTCCTCATCTCCTCCTCTCCTCCTCTCCTCCTCTCCTCCTCTCCTCCTCTCCCTCCTCTCACTCCTCTCCTCCTCTCCTCCTCTCCTCCTCTCCTCCTCTCCTCCCTCCTCCTCTCCTCCTCTCCTCTCTCCTCCTCTCCTCTCTCCTCCTCTCCTCCTCTCCTCCTCTCCTCCTCTCCTCCTCTCCTCCTCTCCTCCTCTCCCTCCTCTCCTCCTCCTCTCCCTCCTCTCCTCCCTCCTCCTCTCCTCCTCTCCTCCTCTCCTCCTCTCCTCCTCTCCTCCCTTCTGCCTCCTCTCCTCCTCATCCTCCGCTCCTCCTCTCCTCCTCCTCCTCCTCCTGCCTCCTCCTCCTCCTCCTCCTCCTCCCTCCTCCTCCTACTTCCTCCTCCTCCTCCTCCTCCTCCTCCTCCTCCTCCTCCTCCTCCTCCCCCTCTCCTCCGGCTTTGGCCACCCCCGCCAGCGCGGACGGCCAGCCGGCCGCAGAGCGGAGACCGTCGCGGCCCGCGCGGCCGCGCCAGCTACTCGGCGCGCGGCGCCGCCTGGCCCGCCTGCCCCGCCGCGCGGGCGAGCGCCTGCTGCCTGCCCGCCGCGCGGGGGAGCGCAGGCGGTCCACCGGGGGCGCGGGGCGGCGCCAACGGCCTGCTCGTGGCGCGCAGCTGCAGGGCCCGCTCCTCCATGCGCATCCTCCGCCAGGCGCGGTTCTCGCGCCGCGCCGCGGCGATGGAGCCCTCGCCGCAGCTCCTGGCCGCCACCGTGGCCACGGCCCAGGCGGACCGCAGCGGGGTGCCCAGCAGGTCCACGGGCGCCAGGGGGGCCTCCTCGTCCTCCGACGCCGCCGGCGAGCTGCCCTCGGACGGCGGGGCGGGCGGCGCGCCGGAGGCGCGCAAGTACTGCAGCGTGCCCAACACGAGCACCGCCGCGCCGCCCCAGAAGCCGGCCGGCGGGTAGGGCGGCGCGTTCAGCATGGAGGCCAGCAGCAGCTGCACGAAGCCGTCCACCGTCTGTACCAGCTGCGCCGTCAGCAGGTTGGGCGCCCGGCCCGCCAGCCTCGCGCTGGCGCGTCTGGACAGCACGTTGAAGAAGACGCCGGCCACCAAGTTGGACAGGAGGCCCCAGTCCAACGTGCCCGCTGCCACACCTGCGAACCTGGGGCCCACCTTCTCCCACTGGCTGGGGAAGACGACCAGCAGCGCGCACAGGTGTGTCACGAAGACCTGTTCCTCGATGCTCTCACCGTATGTGGAGAAGGCGATCTTGATGGTGGAGCTGTACAGCGACAAGCAGAGCGAGGACCCCAGCATCTCCGCCAGCCCGATCCAGAAGCTCGCCGAGATCGCGGACCCGCCGCCTGCTGCGGGCGCGCTGGCCTGCTGCATCGAGCTGCCCGCGGTGGCGATGCCCGCGGTGGCGATGGCCGCGCCGAGCACCTGTGAGCGGGAGAAGCGCTTGCCGAAGAGGGACGCCTGCACCACCATCCCGACCAGCATCCTCATGTTGCTCAGCAGCACGCAGAGGGACGGGGGCATCCGCACGAGGGCGTCGGACTTGAGCGTGGTGAAGAGGCACCACAGCACCGCCATGGAGGCGTGGTACGGCATCGGGATCCGCCTCCTCCGCACGAGCGCGCCAGCGGCGGGCAAGTGCATGACCACGACCGTCACGTGCACGATGAAGCTGAAGAACAGCACGCCGCCCGGATCGCAGCTGAGAAATGAGATGTACGGCACCACCACCGCGGCCCCAACGCAGATGGACGACAGAGCGGCGGGCCAAAAACGACTTCCGCTGGCCTCTAGAGGAGAAAGTGGAGGAGGCAGAGGATAAGGAGGGAAATTCTACCGCCGCTGCCAACCCATCCGAAGCTGCCAACCAGACCCCGCCGCCAGCCCATCCGAAACTGAGTACAAAGCAGAGCGGATGTTTGTAATGACCTGACCTGGGTTACAGTGGAGGCCAGTCCACAAGAAACCTTCCTCAAGAAACCCAATCCTGAGATCCCAGGACGTCCATTGATTTTCGGCGTGGGAGCGTCACGTTTCCCACGGCAAAACCATCGAAACCCAAGAAACACAGAGCACCCTGGAGGCAAGCAGGTTGTTTCTTGGCATGGGTCTCGTAGCAGCGACGGCGAGGGGTAGAAATGGAACCCCTGAGGAAAAGGACAGCCTGGCTCGAGAAGCCACTGCTCTTGGAGGCGCTCCTGGACCGCGCCGTGACGCGCTGCAGCAGACACGGGAGCTTCTCCTGCTCGGGCCCGACTGGCACCAAACTCTCCATGTCAGCGTGGCTCGCCCCGCAGATGCTGTAAGCCGGGAGGTGGGCGATGCTCGGCGGCGAGCCTGGGGAGGAGTGAGAGGGGGCGGGCCTTCGCAGAAGGCTCGGACGTCCCCCGGCCTTCTGAGAAGTTTTTGTCAGCCTTCCCCGACGATAAAGAAAACTTCTCAGGAGGCTGGAGGGCTTCTGAGAAGCCCCGCCACCTTCTGAGAAGACCTCTCTCTTTCACCCCCCCCCCGGGCGCGCCGCCGAGATGTCGTGCTGCCGCCTCCGCGACACGTCGCCGCTTCGGTGGAGCTGCCTCCAGGCGAAGTTGGCGCGCCGCTTGGCCTCCACGTCCCCCTTCCGCGCGCCCGCCGCGGCGAGCTTCCAGGCCCTGCGCATCGAGGTGCCGGGCGTCATCTGCCGCTCCAGGTCGGCGCCGCGCACGTCGGACGGCACCGCCGCCCGCCGATCCCTGCGGGGGCTGTGACGGGGGCGAGCAGCCCAAGGCCCAAACGGGGGGGGCAGTACATGGCGGATTTCGGAAACCCTGTGCCCAACAACGTTTTCATCTCTTTTGGCGCGTTTTTCTGACTTCCGCCGCCTTCCGCCGAGTTTCCGCTGGCGGAGGCGGCCTCGGTTTACTTCCGCCGACCTTCCGCCGCCTTCCGCGGCGGAAGAGATGACGACTCCGTCAATGCTCGAGGGCAAGGCCGCATTTGGAACGCCCCACATGTATCCAGAGGGCGCAGGGCACCGATGGCCCACATCATCGGCGAGGCTCCCCGGGGCGCAGAGGCAGGGAACGTCACGCTCCCCATCGCAAAACCATCGAAGACAAGCCCAAGAAGCCCAGGGCACCCTCTGGAGGCAAGCGGGGTGTTCCCCGTCGTGGCCCCCCACTGTAGCAAGGATGCGCGATGAGGGTGCAGGCTCCTTGGGCGTCCGCGTTGGAGCTTCCTCGGGAGCGGCGGGCCACCGAGAATTGTCAGAGACGGACCAAAAAGGTCCGGGTGCAAGGGTGCCCTTGGGAGGGTTACCCCTCCGTGCAGTCGGACCCAGGCCAGAAAAACATCCATCAAGAACACGAGGCCCGCCGTCGGCCAACTCAAACAGTACACCCAGGGGTGCCCTCCCCAGGCGATGCACAAGGAGCATCGAACAGTTGCTTCCCGTCGCCGGCGAGGCAAAGGCAGTCCGCGCCGGCGTGTGGCTAATTCGGGGTAG